AAAGAGCCATGGGAGAGGATCATTGATCCGCTGCCTGCCTCCTGCACACCGCACACTGGGGATCGAGCCCACAACCCAGGCGTGTGCCCTGGCCAGGAATGGAACGTGACCTCCCGACTCATAGGTCGATGCTCAACCCCTGAGCCACGCTGGCCGGGCATACTTTCTTTCTTTTTCTTTTTCTTTTTTCTTTTTTTTTAATAAATCAATCTTTATTGTTCATATTGTTACAAAGGTTCCTCATTTCTTCCCCCCTCCACCAGGTTCCCACCCCACCCTCCGCCCCCTCCCCATCCCCCATTGTCCTCATCCATAGGTGCAGTTTATGTTCAGTCTCTTCCTCCCTCCCTTTCCCGGATAGTAAATCCCTTTTCAGATAGTAATTCAGTTACTTAGCATTTTCTCATATCAATAATACCTCCACATGCCCAATGATACACTTCACACAAAAGACATTTCCAAATAGGTCAACCAGCCTCATCCAGGCCCCACCGAAGGCACTCACAGAGCAACACCCCAGCCCTATACTAACTCAACACATCCAGATCTAAGCCTTCATCACTTGATTCAGCAGACCCTCAAGTTCCCACAGAAGTTTCCAGCCATGTCTGAGAGGCAGCCGTGGGGCAGGGGCAGGTGAGGAGCGAGCTGTTCTGGGCCTAGCTGCTCCAGGCCTGGCCTCTGTTGCTCTGGTTCATTCCACAACCAGCTGCTCGGGGTCTGGTCACCACCGCTCCCGACCTAGTTGCTCTGGACCTGGCTGCTGCTGCTCCAGGCCTGGTCGCACCAGACCCGGCTGCTCTGGGCCTGGCCGCTCCCAGCCTGGCAGCCGCTGCTCCGAGCCTGGCCGCTCCCAGCCTGGCAGCTGCTTGGCCAGGCATACTTTCTGTTTAGAGACTGTGGGATCTGATTCTGTTAAGACTGAGTTTAGGTCACAAAAGATGAAAGTCAAGGTCGAAGCCACCTTACAACCAAACGGAGCTGTGACTTGCGTGTCTTTGGACGTCCCTCAGAGAAGCCTGGGGTGCTGAGGCTGGCTTTGTTTACCCAGGGGGGACCCTGAGGCCAGGTGGGAAGAGAGCCTGCCCAAGGTCACTCAGCGGTGGCCGTCAAGGTTAGGCCTGGTGCGGTCATGGGCCTGTCGTCTCCGAGCTGGAAGGAGCACAGAACTTGCTTATCTGTAAAATGGGGTCGTGACCTTGGCCGCAGGTGATTGCTGTGGGGATGACCTGAAACCACAGATCTGAGAGCCCCTGGCCCGAGTGCCGGGGGATTCACGACCCTCTGGCCCTAGACTCCCGCCCGTCTGCTGCCTGGTGTGCTAGGACAAAGCAGCTCGCAAAGGTGGGGAGATGGTCCTCGGGGGTCCTCAGACCCCCGTGCGCAGGTTGGAATCGAGTGAGTCATTTGTGTGTGTGTTTTTTTTAAATTGTATGAATTCCTGCATATGCCGGTTTGGCTCAGGGGATAGAGTGTCGGTCTGCGGACTGAAAGGTCCCAGGTTCGATTCCGGTCAAGGGCATGTACCTTGGTTGCGGGCACATCCCCAGTGGGGGGTGTGCAGGAGGCAGCTGGTCGATGTTTCTCTCTCATTGACATTTCTAGCTCTCTATCCCTCTCCCTTCCTCTCTGTGGAAAATCAATAAAATATATTTTTAAAAATAAAATAAAATAAAAAAATAAATTGTATGAATTCCTGGGAAACGGGGTGCGGCCAGAAAGGGGGCCGCCCCCATGCCTTTCACACAACGCACGTTCGTGGGGAACCTGGCCCTAAACCATTCGTAGACGACTGCTTCTGGGTCAGGGTTTCGTATGTGGCAGAGCAGCTCCCTCGCTGCGATCTGTTGAAAGTCAATCCTCGACACACACACAAAAAAATTAATTTAATTTAAAAAATGAAGAAGAAAAATTTGTATGAATTGACTTTAGAGAGAGAGACGTCAACTTGTTCCACTTATTTATGCATCCATTGGGGGTTCTTGGATGTGCCCTGACCAGGGATCGAACCTGCAACCTTAGCATGTCAATAGGGACGATGCTCTGACCAACTGAGCCACTTGGCCAGGGCTGGGCCGCTTGTTTAAAAGCAGATTTCTGGGTCCCCTGGCCAAGAAGCCTAAGAACCTGCTTTACAAAATCTACGCCATTTCCCCTTCTCTCCTCCCCCCACCCCCCACCCCGCCCCCGCTGCCCCGTCACACACACACACACACACACACACACACACACACACACCCTCACCTTGAGGCCCAGTGAGGCAAGGTTCAACCAAGAATTGTCCAAGTCCGCTCCGAGGAAAGGGAGGGAAACAGGCAGCACACAGACAAGGGCGTGGGTGCCTGGGAAGAGCTCTGGGGAACGGAGGGCTTTGGGGGGCGGGCGGGCGAAACGGGGAGCCTGGGTGGGGACACACAGGGCAAGTGTTGCCCGAAGCCAGAGCCTCGCTGCCCTCTGTGCCTCCCACGCCCGCCCTGTGTGGGAGGGATGCCAGGGTCACAGAGTGCTTAGGAGGCATCTCCTTTGTCTGCCCTCCTGCCCCTGCCCAGGCAGGACGGGGCTCAGGGCTCAGCACCATTTCGAATACAGGCAGCCGCTTCACTGGAGGGGATGTGATGGGAGGACTGTGGGCTAGGGGGTCCGAGAGCCCTGGGGTTCCATGGATGCCTCCCGGGAGCGCAGGGGTGGGGGAGGAAAGAGGGGGAGACCGCAGGAGAGGAGGAGTGTGGAGGCCTTGGGGGTGGGCACACGCAGTGAGGGCGGCGGCTGGGCCAGTTGGAGGCGAGAATGGCACCGGGGGTTGTTAGGCCACGGAGTCAGGTTGGACCTTGGTTCAGCAGCCTCGGCCCTTGAGAAAGTTTATCTGGAAGGTCACAGGGCAGAAGGAGTGAGCCGAAGGAGAAATGGACTCAGGAAACCATCACAGAGGCCCAGAAGGGCCCGGAGTGAGGAGAGAAAAAGGCAGCAGTAACCGGGGTGGGGTGGGGTGGGGGGAGACGCAGGTGTGCTCCCGGAGGGAGAGCTGGCGGGAGGGCTTTTAGGGTGGGTGGGGGTCAGGGAAGGCCCCAGGGGAGGGTCCGGGAGCATCTTCACCAGCCCTCCAGACTGCACCTTCAGGGGCGGTCTCGCCGGGCTGGGAGTCATTGGTCAGCAGCGCGGCTGGTCCTGATGTTGGATGTGGGGTCGCTGGTCCGGTTTTTCTGCTTTTCCGGGCCTGGAGCTGAAATGCCAGAGCCCAGATGTCACCCTGGAGGCTGAGACTGAAAGGAGTGGTTGTGCAAGGGTCCATGGGAGTCCCATGAGGTCACTCCTGGACTCTGGCTCCTCCTCCAAGGGGTCTGTCTACCCATGGCTAGCACCATGCCGTCAGAGGAAAGGTCAGGGGGGAAAGGTCAGGGGGGGAAAGGTCAGGATATCTAAGCCACATGACCAGCGAGATGCCAGGGCAGGAAAGGTCACCTGGCGGCAAGGTCCTCGCTTTCCCAGGTTTGCCCTTTGCTAGGCCCTGGGCTTCCCACCCTGGTGACCTTCTGCACCTGGCCCGTTGTCCTTTCCCTGCTCAGGTCTGTCTGACTGCCCACCACAGACCCACAGGATTCGAAGGCCCTGGGACCTTGCCCATCGGAAGGTGAGAATCTCAGGAAGCGGGAAGGGGCCGAGCCCAGAAGAAAATGCACTCAGGGCTTCTCTAAGACAGGCCTGTGTTCTGCTACAGGTGAGTGCCAGCTTAGGGAGCACCACGCCCATGAGCCTCGCTGGATGTCTCACCAGGGCCACACCTGGCCCCGAGGCCCCGCCAGAAAGGGACAGGCACGCCTGAGGTTCTTTGCATGCAATTTCCATATGTGATGCCATTGCTCATTCAAAGGCAAAGTTCAAGCCCTGGGCAAGTTAGTTAGAGCATCATCGTCCTGGTACCCCAAGGCCCCGGGCAGGCCAATCTCTGGTCAGCGCACATATTAATACAAGAGTCAACCAATGGGGGAGAGAGTGGTGGGGGGAGGGGGGGGAGGGGGGAGGTGGAGGAGGCAGCTGATGGTTGATGTTTCTACAATATCTCACTATCCCTCTCGTTTTCCCCCTCTCTCTCTCTCTGAAATAAATATAAACATATTTTTTTAAAAATAAAAGCAATCAATTAAAAATATACTAAGAAAACACACCCAAGGTAAAGTTCAAATGCCACTGCGTGTCTTATTTCTGCGCCTTTTTCTTTGGCCTCCTTCCCTGCCTCCTTCGCTGCCTCCCGCCGTCGAATGTGGAGCCTGTGCCCAGACTCAGAGACGGCGTCCCGAGGGGGCCGTGGCCCCAGGGCCTCTGCGGGTCCAGGCCATTTGGCTCTGCTCGAACGAAAGCCACCCGGGCAGTGGCAACTGACTCCCAACACCCCTCTCGTCCTAATACCGGACTGCGTTTCAGAACCGCTGTCCTGCTCGCCTCCTGGCCATTTCCTACCGGGGCTGGAGCCACTTGGTGTCCTTGGACCCACTCAGACAATGAAATGTGATCCAAGGAAGTCCTCTCAGGGGTGCCCAGCCTGCGGCTGCCTGCTCCTCATGCCTGTCCCACACCCCTCCTGCAGAGCTGGGCACTCTCCTTATAGCAAGGGCCCCAGTCTGACTCCCACCCGTACCCCCAGCACGGTGTGCACAGCCAGCTGTTGGCAGTGCTGGCAGCCAAACATCTGGGGTGGAATGGTGGGCTGGGAAGCAGCCAACCCAGGAGCACAGGACAGGGAGACAGGAGACCTGGCTTCAGCACTCAGCCTGGCTGTGTAGCCATGGGAACCTCTCCTCACTTCGATGGGGCAGGGACTGTATATGTTATGCATTAACTCCCTTTGCTCCTCCCAACAGTGTATAAGGTGGATATAATGATCCTTAAATAAATAAGGATGAATGAGGGAACCCAGCGAGGCTGAAGTAACTTGTTCAAGGTCATCAGCTGGGAAGTGATAGTTGACCCCAGCACTTGCACTTTTAACTGTGCTGCCTCTGTTGGGATAGGGGGGAAAAAAGTGTATTGGCTAGCTAATGCTGCGTAACAAGTTACCATGCCATTGAGTGGTACAGAACCACCAACATGATGACACATAGTTTCTATGGGTCAGGGGTCAGGGAGTGGATGCACTTGGGGTACTGGCTTGGAGTCTGTCATGAGGCTGCAGCCACGGTGTCGGCCAGGGTTGCGGTCATTGAAGGCCGGGCTAGGGCTGGAGGGTCTGCGTCCTAGATGGTGCCCTCAGATGGAGCTGGTTGGTGGCTGGAGGCCTCGGTTCCTCACCATGTGGACTCTCCACAGGCTGTTGGAGTGGCCTCGGGACGTGGTTGTGGGTTTTCTCCTGGGAATGTGTTCCGAGAGAGGAGAAGGCAGAACTGAAACGTGGTGACTAAGCCGTGGATGGCACACGTGCTGCTATTTCCACGCTATCTTGCTGCTGACAGGGCAGCCATGTTCACGAAGGGAACTCCGGGAGGTGGGATCAGAGAGGCCGCCTTGGAGGCTGGCCACCACAGGGGGCGACAGAGAGCCGCTGCCAGGTGGTTGGGAGGGTCACATCACAGAAGAGGTGGAAGCATGCCCTGGGCATCTGCTAGAGCTGCCACACCACAAAGTGACAGAAACGGATTCTCTCACAGGTCTGGGGGCTGCAAGTCCAAAGTCAAGGTGTCGGCAGGGTCACGCTCCCTCCGAGAGTTCAAGGGGAGAATCCTTCCTTGCATTTTATAGCTTCCGGTAGCTCCAGGCATTCCTGGGCTGTGGCCTCCTATCGCTCCATCTCGGCCTTCCCCTTGGCTTGGCACTTTTCTCTGCGCCTGTGTGTCTTCTTTTCTGTCTCCGATAAGGACACTGGTCATCGGATGGAGGGCCCACCTTAATCCAAGGTGATCTCCTCTCAAAACCCTTCTCCTAATGACATCTTCAGAAGCCCCGGCAGCAAATCAGGTCACATTCTGGGGTTCCAGGTGAGCGTATCTTTCCTCAGGGGGTGGGGAAGAGAAGCGCCATTTAATCCACCAAACCCCTCAACCAACGCTGTCCCGGTCACCTATTGCTGTACAGTGAATGCACCCCAAACTTAGTGACCTCAAACAGCAGCCGCTGGTTTGAGTGAGGAATTCGGGGAGGGCCTGCCTGGGTGGTGCTGGCTTCCGATCTGTCATACCTTTGCAATCAGGACAGTGGACGGTGCTGGGACAGTCCGGGGCTGAGGCAGCTAGGGACTAGGCAAACATCTTTCTCTCTTCCTGTGGTCTCGGGACCTTCCTTTTTCTTTCTTTTATTTTAACATATATATTTTATTGATTTTTTACAGAGAGGAAGGGAGAGGGATAGAGAGTTAGGAACGTCGATGAGAGAGAAACATTGACCAGCTGCCTCCTGCACACTTCTCACTGGGGATGTGCCCACAACCCAGATACACCCTCTTGACCGGAATCGAACCTGGGACCTTTCAGTCCGCCGGTCGACGCTCTAGCCACTGAGCCAAACCGGTTTCGGTGGTCCCGGGACCTCTCTGGGTGGCCTCCCCGTGCGGCTAGTTGGGCTTCCTCACAGCATGGCAGCCTGGGGGAAGTCAGACCACTTCCTGAAGAGCAAGGCCTTCAGAATCACTGAGGGTCACCTCCACGGTGCTCTGCCATTCAAGACACCCCCAAGGCCCTCTCTTCCCCCAGATTCACGACAGCTCTCAGCCGTAGCGCACCCCCCTTTACAGATGCAGAGCCTGAGGCTCAGGGCAGAGCCACACCTGAGCCCACCAGTGACTTCAGGGCCCATAACTACAGCCACTCTTAGCCCTGTGGATGCTCTCTCTTCTCCAATTATCTGTGCCTTCAACCTGGGGAAAGGGGCCCGATCAGGTCCCAGGCTGCTCTTGAGGACGGATTGGGGACAATAGGGATCGTGTGAGCAGGAAGGAGGCCTGAGGACGAGTCGCCAGCTGCCCTGGCTTCCAGCCCTGCTCGGCCACGCCTGTCGGTGAGGTCCTGGGCAGTTTCCTGCTCAGTCGCCGAAGGAGCCATGCCCGCCCCGCTGCCTTTCACGGTGGTCACGGCTGGCAGGAGGTTCAATACGCTGGAGTGCTTGCTAAGCTGTTTAATGCTGTTCAAACAAAAGGCGTCGCCTGTCTCTTTGAGCTGCTCAGAGTGCCACGAGCATCTGGCTGCTTTGCGGATATTGGCTGATTTTAATTTAAAGGTTCCCCACGAACCCCGGAAGGAGCAGCAGGTCCCGGCAGCTACGCTCTGCAACCAAGGATGGTTACCCAGGAGACGGCGGGGTCCAGGCATCAGGGAGGGACTGTGGACTTCGGAGCTTGCCCATCCTTGTTGCCCCAGAGTAGCCAGTGAAGAAGGCTGGGGAAGGGAGAATCTTTCAGAGGATTCGTGTCACTGAGGGCTGTGTACACAAAGGACCCCAAATTTAGTGCTTTACCTGGTGATAATTTTTTAAATTTATTTTTTTAAATATATATTTTATTGAATTTTTACAGAGAGAAAGGGAAAGGGATAGAGAGTTAGAAACATCAATGAGGGAGAAACATCGATCAGCTGCCTCTTATATACCCCCTACTGGGGATGTGCCTGAAACCAAGGTACATGCCCTTGACCGGAATCGAACCTGCAGACCGACGCTCTATCCACTGAGCCAAACCGGCCAGGGCCTAGTGATTCATTTTTATCTGTCGTGGTTGTGTAGCTGACAGGGCTCAGCTGACCAGTTCTTCCTCAGCGAATGGGCTGGTGTCTCTATACATTTGCAATCAGAGAGCAGCTGGGTCTATGGTCATCTGAAGGCCCGACTGGGCTGGGTGTCCAAGATGGCAGCTCAAGGCTCTTCCACGTGGCCTCTCTCTCCAGCGGTGTGGCCCCAGCTTCTTAGGTGGCAGCTTTTACTCCAATAGTCAGTAGAAATGGCCAGTCTCTCGAGGGCTGGGTGCAGATAAGGGTTGGCATCACTTTGGCCATAATCTGTTGGTCCAAGAGTCACAAAGCAGCCAGATCTAGGATGTGGAGGAATGGACTCACCCTGGGGTGTTCACCCAACGATCTCCAAACAATCTTTGTAGCCATAACAGTCAGCTTCCCGGTGGAGACTGGAGACAGGCCCCCGGCTGAGCTCACGGTGGCTCAGGTGTCTGACTCTCCCCCTCAGAAAGGGAACAGTCATCAGTGGGTGCCTCCCTGCCCTGTCACCTATCTGTGGCATTTCCCCAGCCTCCTCGCCCACTCCCATTCTCGCCTTTTTATGCATCTTGTCAACTTACTTTTCTTGCTCCCTTTTGACAAAAGCAAAAAGGGACGTGATGGCTTCTTTGAGCCTTGATCCCCCCCACCCCCACCCCCCAAGTAACATGGGGCACCTCCTGGGGTTCCATTGAGCATCGTAGCAGGTTTAACTGTGCAGTTCCCAGCACAGGTCTGACCCGGGAAGGTGCCGGGTGAGTAAGCCCACAGTCCCAGCCACGGGCCCGGTCTTGCCCAGGTGTATCAGGTGTGTGCTAAATGCTTTCCATAGGTTATCTGGCCTAAGCCTCCAGGAACTGAGTGCTATTTTTATCTCCGATTTATAAAACAAGGAAGCTAGAAGCTGGGGAAGTTATGGAACTTGTTCAAGGTCCTTCGGTGAGTAAGGGGCAGCAGCTCTGAGACTTGAACCTTGAGGTGTTTCCCACTGGAGCCCATCCTCCGCCCCAGGTGATGTAAGAATAAAAACATCTCTGGCTTCCAGACTGTTCTCTAGGCTCACATGCCCTCTGGGAGGCAGCTGGTTCCCCGTGCATCTCTAGGCGGCTACAAACATGTGTTCATTCGGGAGGAATCTGTTCAGGTTTAAATACTCTCGCCAGAGGGGGAGGGACTCTCCGGGGTGGGGAGCTGGTGCTCCGTTCAAGCAAATATCTGCTTCTTCCTCCCTCACAGAAACTCCCCTCCTCTCTGCAGTGGTGGACAGTGGGCCCTTGGGGAACCTCGATGGCTAGGCTGGTCCTCGGGAGTTTAGTGAGGATGGCCAATTCTCAGAGATGCTCAGATTTGCCCCTGGCAGGGCCAGCAAACTCCACTCCACAAGCCAAACCTGGCCCACTGATGGTTTTCACAAATGAAGTTTTATTAGAACACAGCCACGCCCATTTGCTGACTGTGGGTCTGTCTGCTTGCATGCTACAAGGGCAGAGTTGAGTAGCTGTGATGGAGCCCACGGGCGGGAGGTTGAATATCCTTCCTGTCTGGCCCTTCGCAGGAACTGCAGACCCTGAATGAGGGGCCTCGCTCAGGCTGGTCTCTGCCAGCTGATCCTACCTGGGCCCACACAGGGGGAAGAGGTTTGCGTTTGGAGTAGGAGACGGTCTGTGGGAGGGGCTGTGTTGGTGTTTCTCCCCACCTGGCGGCCGGACTTGTTCACGATGAGGCCGGGTGAGGGTCGGAAGTGGTGCTGGCTCGGGGCCTGGGTCCGTCACGGCCGCCCTGGGTCACTGGTCACAGCACCTGGAGCCCCAGCAGGGAACACTGCTTCCCTCTGTCCCCCAGGTGCCCGGGTCCTGGCGGCTCAGGACAGGATGGAACTGGTTCCCGGCACTTGAAGAATTCCCTACCCACCCCCAAAGGGGCCTGTGGAGCCGAGCGGGGCGGGAGGTGGATTCCTGGGAGCCACTGTGCCGTGAGCTCAGCTGCGACAGCCACTTGGTGTCTATGGTTCGCTGAAGGCCTGGGGGCCCTGCCGCCCCTGCCTCTCTCCCTGCAGGCACACGTCCTGGGGACCTGCCTCTGCCCATCAGTGGGACATCCCCTATAGGAGCAACAGGGTTAGTCTCCTTATGTGGCCCCTCTCTTTGCTCCTGGGTATCCTGGGTTCTCCACGGACGGCACCCCAGCCTCTTTCCCTGACCTGGAGGGGCTGGGAGGGCTGGTCCTGGGCAGACTCCAGCCCCACGGGGAGATCCGCATCCACACCCACGTGCCAGGCGCTCCAACAGCAAGCAAACAAGCACCACTGCACACGGCCCGCTCCTCCCCGCTGTGCCGAAGGTGTGCCAGCCCGGCTGTGCCCTTGGGCACTGGACACAGTTGGCCCAGGCTGGCCTCGGCGCCTGCTGAGCCGTCGGCGCCCCCTGCACCCCCAGCTGCACACTGGCTCCTTGGGAGGGTGGCCTCGGCGCCCAGCCCCTGCTCGGCTGGGTGGCTGCCCCCGTGAGTTAGTTTCCTCCCAAAGATTGATTTTTCCTTTTATTTTATTTTTATTTCCCCCCAATGATTGATTTTTTTTAATGCGCTCTGTGCTGACTCCATTCTGTTCTGCAGAGTCCCCGCCTCCAGCGCCGTGGCTCCGGCCCGCGGCCTGGCCTGCCAGGTAGCCAGGGAGACACATATGTCGCAGACCTGGGGCCTTGGAGAAAGGAGGGAGGAGCCATGGCCACAGCCAATGTGGAGTCCGCCTTCCCTCCCCCCGTCTCCTGGAACCCAGGCCCGTCCGCGCTGATCTCATGGCCACCCTCCCACTGAGGGTGTCCTCACCGGGCCAAGTGGCCTACACGCAGGCGTGGGAGAGGGGCCTGTGGCTTAGCAGGGCTGGACGATTCTTTTTTTTTTTTTTTTTTTAATATATTTTATTGATATTTTACAGAGAGGAAGGGAGAGAGTTAGAGAGCTAGAAACGTCGATGAGAGAGAAACACTGACCAGCTGCCTCCTGCACACCCCCTACTGGGGATGTGCCTGCAACCAAGATACATGCCCTTGACCAGAATTGAACCCAGGACCTTTCAGTCCGCAGACCGACACTCTATCCACTGAGCCAAAACTGGTTTTGGCAGGTCTGGACGGTTTTTAAAGCCTCCCCACTACACCCCTTTCCTCCCCACTCACACACACACACTGGGGATCAAGCTTGCAATCCCAGCCGGGGCCCTGACCAGGAATGGATCCGTGACCTCCTGGTTTATAGGTCGACACGCAGCCACGGAGCCACGGCAAAGGGACTGAGCCGGCCCAATAAGCAGCCTGCCCGACCGAAGTCACCCAGGTAGGAGGTAGCCGACCCAGAATTTGACGCCACAGCCGGTGCCTGACCCACGGTGCCCTGCGGCCTGGGTGGTGCTGTAGGTGGCGATGAGGGCATCCGTGACCCCGGCCACCAGGACTCTCCAGCCACAGGGCGAGGCAGCAAGAGGATGTGAGGAGAAGCCAGAAACCCGGGACGCGAGTCCTGGCTCAGCCACGCGCTGTGTGACCTCCGAGAAACGGCCCCACCTTCCTGGGCCTCCATGTCTTGATCTGCAAAAGAGGGTCTGTCCTGAGGACTGAATGCGGCGGCACACGTGACGCGCTTTGCAGAAGGTAACAAGGCAAAAGGTGCCGAATGAGAAGGCTCGCTCCTGTGCAACCGAAGAAACCAGCTCCGGGGTCTCCAGAGGCAGCCGTCAGCACACTGGCCAGGCGCACGCGGGCTGCTCTTCTCTTTCCCTTTTCCCCGCGGGGGAGCGGCTGGCCCGTCCGCCCGTGGAGAACTGAAACCGGCCGCACAGCTGCCCGCTCTGCTTTGCACGCTCTTTTGTTTTTCCACTTCGCCGCGTGTCTGGGGCCCGTTTCCGAGGCCGCACCGCTCTGGTCCCGATTCCTCGTTCCTGACACTGCCGTCCCACACACGTGGCGTCGGTCCCCGGTGGCGGGCGCCCGTGTGGCCTTGCCAATCTCCGAAGAAGTGCCACCCAGGTCACGTCACAAATGTGCCTGC